TTGCTCATGGATTATGAACCAGATGAACTCCAAGTACATGAACAAATTAAGAGCCAAATACTTGGAGGCTATGTTATTTTGCCTGGTGCTTTGTAGTACATGCAATATTTTGTTCCATTGGGTGTTTAGCCATCATCGGGGACATCTGAAAATGTTCTGCCCTTGGAAGGTCAGGTTCTTAAATGGATCCATTCTAAGTTGACTGTGTGTATAACATAAATTCAGCATGCTCAATAAGAGTGAAGGTCTGTTCTGGTGTGCAATAGTATAACTGCATTTTAAAATGTGCTTGAAAAAAGACAGAGCTCTTCATTAGTATTGCATGCAAAATAATTTCTGTTATATCCTATGCAATGTACATATGGTCATGGCAATACAATGGTATTTGCTGCTGTATGCCTACATAGTTTTCAAAACTAAAATTCAATGCTTAGCTAAATTGCTAAGCAGACTGGTAAATGTCCAATTTTAGCAGCCTAGCATATGTTTATAATTTTTGTTTTAACATATGCTATGTTGGTTGAACTCCCCTCCCCACACATACGGTAGATAAAAGCTGTCACATCACAAAATGGTGGCAGCCCAACTTTTCTAACATTTTCCATGGCACTTCAGAGTCTTGCATTAATTAGCTATTCTTGGATAGGAGACAGACACTCATCTTTGTAGAATTTCGGTTTCAAACCCGTCGTGTACTTCAGTTTATGTATGCAGTAGCCCATCTGTGTTTCTGCAGCCATAAACAGTAAAAAGCACAGGGCATACAGAAAAGCGGTCAGCAAGAGTGAGAGTGCCCTTGGTTCACAGATATGAATACCTAGCAAATGGCCCTGAAGGCAGGCCCATTTGGTTTGCTGGTGGGCTCTAGTTTGCTTGAACAAGACTGTTCTCTCTCTTCCACTTTTCTAGGAGAGGTGGGTGAATAAAACAATGTTGGTGCACAGTCCTTTTTACTTTTCACTGTGCGCTGCTAAACTACCCCTCTTTTCTCCTCCTTTTTCAAGGCAGGTGTAAGGAGGAATTTCACCGAGCCTATGATTCTTTCCGGAACTTCAGTGGAGTAGAGGAGACTTGTGACAAATACAGCTGCAGCTGTGATAATGCTGTCTTAGTCCTTGCTGCACTGTGACATGGAAACCTGGATTTAAACATGAAAGGACATGCCTTAACAGTACAGCAATATGATGCCTTATTACATCAAATTGCCTTTTGCACGTGCTCCAAAATCATGGTATTTTTTGGTATTCTGTCTGCTGTTTCCCTCTTGTTAAGCTCCTGACTGTGGTGTATTTCTGCATGCGTAATGTCTACTGTGCTGCTGCACAGGTGATGATTGGTTTTCTGTGGGGGATGAAGGAGCCTTGCCCATCAACAGAAACTGCTGTAGAAATGGCACAGGGTCTGTGGTAGAGGACTGACATTGCCAAGTGTGGTCACATCTGTACCTGGTCTATCTAGAGCACGGACAGGGTTGTTCTGATGCCTTCATCCCTGGGTGGCATGGGTGCTGCCTCCTGCCCTCTGGTCTACCTTGAAGCTGCTCAAAAGCTCATACCCACGTGTAGGCATGGTTCCAAACGTATTGCCAAAACATAATGTACAATATCTGTCAAGCCCAGAGTGCGTGACCCACTGGTAATGCTGGCGGAGTGCTTTGCGATCTTTGGGTCGTAGATGCCAGTGGTGGTTGTTCAATGTTTATTTCCCATTTATGTATTTGTTTTCAGCTACAGGACCTACAGCTGCTGTTTGGCTTGCTGTGGTTGTTAGCTGGCTGGCAGTCTTTGCTGTGGGATTCGGGTTCTGTCAGTGTGCACAGAAACCAGTTTTGTTTCACTGCCAAATAATAAGCATGGTGGCAATGAAGGAAGAAAATGATAAATTTAAACTGTGCTTTTTCAGACCTTTAGGTAGATATCTACTAGAAATAACTATTTATTACAAGTGAACATAAGTAATTAGTGTATCCTTAACATCGGTTACTTATTGCTAGCAGAAAGGTAAAGAAATTTCTTTATTTTCCAGTGTTGCCCTCCACCCTGGTAAACATTTCTTTGATTTGAAAGTTTCTCGTACGGTTTAAAGAGTGTGAACGTGGCTTTTTACCTTCCTTCTCTACAGCTTCTCTCCCCAAATGTAATTTATCACCAGTTGAGTTGAACTAAGTACGGTACCAGTTTTCTGTAATGACCCTGGAAGTAGTCTACATGACTGTGGTGGGAGAGGGGAGCAGGAAAGTGTTGGTGAAGGACTTCAGTGTTTCTGGTGTTCTTGTGTGATACCACGTCAGTGGCTCCTTTACTGCTTGTTTGCTGTTGTTTGCAGTACTTGGATATTGGATAACTCATCAGATAACATTGGATAACTGTAACTTTTTTTTCATACTGCTCACAGTAGATTTTGCTTAAGATTAGAATAATCATGCAGATAGTAATGCAATTTGACTATTTAAGGCACAAGCATAATGCTAGGATGAAATCTCTGATACGAGTTCATCTGTAGGTTTTTCTCCTGTACAAGTTTGTGAAAAGTATATGTCACTTGCTCAGAAAAATAAGCGTTTCTGAACTATCAGAAACTGATAGCATTGTTGCTCATTACAAATACTGAAAAATCATCAGGTAAGCCCTTAGAGATGTATACATTACGGTCTCCCTTAAAAATCATGAGTCTTAAAATAAACAAAGTGCCTTCCCCCCCGTGAGCTTATGGTTCATGTTCCAATTTCTTTTTCCATAAAGTTATAATCATGAGAAGAACTGTTTATGTGAAAATTAAACTTCTCATACACTTGTCTGATTCTCAGAGGACTGGTATTTAGGAAGGCAGCAAACATGACAAGACTCACGATTAAATCACGAGAGTTTTTCATACATTACAGTTATGTATAAGTTTTAAATCGAATTTTTTAGAAAAAGAAATGTATGGGCAGATGGTGGTATTTACTTAAGGGAAGCTGAATTCATTATCTGACTAGAATTGGGTATTTCAAGCAGCTGTTTGAAAACGAGAACTCACTTTCCATGAAGGAGAATGTATGTTTGGGGAAAATGGAGCCTCTTTCAAAATGTAAGGCTATCCCCTGTTTAGTCTATGTTAGAGGGGTTTCTGGTGGGTGTGTGTAAATTCATTTATGGAAGAACCCTATTAGTACTGGCCCAAGAACTAATCTGGTGAAATAGTTTTGCAAACTCTTAAAAAAAAAAAAAAAAAGTCCTTCTTAAACGTTTCAAAACTAGATAAAAGCTGTAGCTGCTCCTTTTTCTTAAGATATTCAACCAGAAAAAGGATTAAACCCAGTATTTAACATTTTTACGCTGCCCTGCCAAATTTAATTTCTGACTACCCAACTTGCCTTTATTTTTGATTTATTGAGGTACAATTACTTCAGGAACTAGACCTATAGAGAACATCCAGGTGTAAGTCAGAAGAAAGGAAGCCAAACATGAACATACCCATTATCTTTTACAGATCATTTTCGGGGGGACTCTGCATTCTAGAATGTGTCTATTCGATTTGCGCATATATATATATATATATATATATATAGCTTTAGGAGTATGAAAAATAATCTTAGCTTGTTTGTTCTTTTTTTATACTTGTTTCTCTTATGTTCCTGTGGAAAGCTAGCCAGATACTGTAATCCTAGCTTAAAGATGGAAAGCTATCCCTGGAAGATTGTGATCTGTTCATTGCTTATGTCCTTTCTTTCCCCATTTCTATAAGACTTTCCCAGGAAATTCTTTCACCCAGGAAATTCTTTCACCCAGGAAACCTGTGGCCCTGGATTTCTTGGTTCATAGAGAAATACAAACCAGTTTGTTGTTTGGAGCAGATGCCTTTCCCCAGTCACGTAACTTCTAATGCCTCTGTTGTCCCATTCTGTAATAAGCAAATTGTAATGCTTAATTATTTAATGGAACCTATGCTAATATTTGTGAAGCCCAACTATAGATTTTCAAGTGATTTTGCATCTCAGAATGGGCTTATGCATTTGGAGTGACTGAAGGGCTTGTGATCCTCAAAACTCCTGATTTTGGAATTCTCTCTTTGAATGCTACAGAGTAATGCAGTTGTGTACACGTGAAGCACAAAGCCTGTTTGTAAAACAGGGCAGATGTGTAAAGATGGCACTTTGATAGGAAATGAATCGTTCAGTTCAGACATCTTTAAGGATCTTATCACTTCATTCACCTTCCTGGTATTTGGCAAGCCCACCTGACCGGTACAGTGGTGTAAGTCATGAAAATAGCCATTCTGGGAACATATGGAAAAGGGGTTTTGTGCTCACCCCAAAATGCTAACATTGGTTCTGACTATGTGGAGCCTTTATTGTGAATCTTGTGCAATACTCATGTGAACTTAATATGCTGTTTATATATAAATATATGCCTTGTGGTCTGGCCATCTGTTTTTTCACAGTGGTTCAGTGGTTTGAAAGGTTAAACTGGTTTTATTTGGCATTAAGTAAGAATCAGCAATGATTGCACAGTGTATGCCACATGCATCTGGTTGATGTGGAATGCCTTCCATTGCTTCTGCTAATGGAGGGGCATGATATAACAGTAAGTTAATGCTTGGGGTTTTATTATAAGCAAGTCCCTGACTGCCGAAGGGCATTGTTAAATTTCTGAGTTTCACATAAGTAGTATTCAGTTATTGCCTTGTATTTTAACCAGATGAAAAATACTGTTTCAAAGAAGGCCTGATGTTTATTCAGCTGTAGAGAGTAGCAGTATCTGGAATGGGGTTAAGGCTAGGTCTAGAGTCATTAATACTCACGCAGTGATACAGAAGACTGATAACTAAATAAGATATCCTAGCTGAAATTTGATCACAGGGATATTTCCCCTCCTCTGAAGTCAAAATAGTGGTTTATAATAGGAATTTCGTCATATTAATCAAGCAGACATTTGGATTTCACTTATCCCTGAGATATTAGCAATTCCTGCAGGAAGATTGCAGTTCCTAACTCAGTTGGTTTTTTTTTTTTTTCTTTCTTTCTCTAGATCATAAGAGTTTGCAATGGCAATGATCTGGAAATTCATGAGAGTAGCGAAGTATTCTAAAACAGCTTTATCACCAAAAGTAAAGGTAAGAGGAATTCCCACCCATTCAAGGCATTCTTCATCCAAGTCTGTACCTTCAGATTTTGGTGCCAACACACCCTGCTCAAATACTGTGGAACTGCTTGGTAAAGCTTATCCTCAAGATGACTACAGCAATGTCACAGAAAAGATTCTTTCCAAGGTGGGGAAGAACTTGCACAACAAAAAGCATCACCCTTTGTGGCTAATCAAGGAGCAGGTGAAAGACCACTTTTACAAACAATATATAGGACGTCGTGGGACTCCGCTCTTTTCTGTCTATGACGGTCTTTCTCCGGTGGTTACAGTACAGCAGAATTTTGATAGGTTGCTTATCCCACAAAACCATGCCAGCAGAAGGAAAGAGGATAACTATTACTTGAATCGTGATCACATGCTAAGAGCACATACATCAGCTCATCAGTGGGACTTGATACACTCCGGCCTAGATGCCTTTCTGGCAGTGGGAGATGTCTACCGCCGTGATACAATTGATAACACCCACTACCCAGTCTTCCATCAGATGGAAGGAGTTCGCCTCTTCTCCTGTCATGAGGTAGGAATTCTCTAGTTGGGGTGAAAGAGATTTTGGGTAAGTTGCATCAGCTTGTATTTGCTGTAAGCAAAGTGCATGCATGTAAACATATTACAGCAACACGTGTTATACTGTTGATAAAGGTCAAGTGATTGATCATGTAGTAATACTTTTAATTTGGAAAAATAGAGGTGGAAAAGATTGAATTTGAAGACAACTATAACTTCCCCAGAAAAATGTGGAAAGAATGGAAAAACAATATTCTTGAAAGCTAGCAAAATAAAACATTATCTGAAAGGAAACAGCTTGTTCAGCTAATGATCTTCACGATTCCATTGTAGCTCTATCACAAGTCTCCTCCAGTGAGGTCACTTCACCAAAGACTTTGTCATATTTGATGCTTGAAGGACTCATGATGTGAATTGTTGCAGCTATATCCAGAGTGCAGTTTTTATTATGTCATCCTTTTTCTTTTAATAGCTCCAACCTTCTGTAAATGAATGTCTTTTTTTAATGAATTGTTCATTCTTCATCTTATCCTAAAGCTGCATTGAAGGCTTCATCTATTGCAGCTGATAGTTATGGGTGTGCACAGTAAACTCATCAGAGTCCAGAAGCATCAGCTAAAGAGCTCTGGGTAGATATCCAAGACTCTTGAGTTCATATATTTCGTTGGCGCAGTGTGCGTGTTCTGCAAATGCTTGGGTGTCATTAAGTGTTCTGCTGTATCATTGATCAGTGGTAAATACAAGCAGGTTTGTTTTCCAAATAGTAATTGATTTGTATAATTTGTGTATGCTTGTAGCAATACTGCCAAATTCACATTTCTATAACTAAAACTAGTTTATTCTAATAATGCTGAGATGTAGACTATTCTTAATTTGGTTGCCAGTGGGTGACAGGAGCTTGGCAGGGAAGCCTGATGGGTTTGGATGCCTGAGGGAAAACTGGTGTAATTTATGGAGCACTGCTTTTCTCACTGGTGGAAAGGGTTCATGCATCCTGCACTGGTGTTTCCCACCCCATGTGGCCACTGCTTCTTCCACTTTGGAAAAAATACATGCCTCTGCAGATGTCCTGTGAGCTATGTGGTGTCGAATACAGCTTACAACTGCTTCTTTGGTAACCAGGAAATGGAAATCTTGCAGATTTATCCAATCTTGTTTGTTTGCTGTTCTTTTCCCGTAGCCCTGTTTATGAACACAATCAGGGTATGTGCAAGAGAAAAATGTACAATACTATATTAAGAAAATGCCGCTTCTTAATGTTTTATATTCATGACAATTTTTTTTTACTTAAGCAGGAGTTCAGGCATTCAGATGGATAGATTTTATCTGCCACAAACTTGTAACATTGGCACTCTTGCAGGATGGAATTTCTGCAAACTTAGGTGTGATTGATCTAATTATCAAAACTATTGTTAATGAATATGGCCCTTACGAAATTTTGGTCTTAATGACAGACTATTTCTTTCTTCTCTACAAATTTAAAAATAGGAATAATAGTAATAATAGGATTTTAATAACTGGGAAGAACGTTACAGAAATGTTCACTGACACCATCTATGTAGAAATACATGATGTGTAACAATCTGATTCATTCCATTGTAGGTTGCTTGTTTCTTTTTTGCTTCTTTCTTTTCCCCCAAGAAAATGATTGAGATGTTATTGGAGAATGTTAACAGCTGATGAATTTGAAGTTAGCTTTATGCTGGAAAATGTGTCTGCCTCTCTAAAGAATGAAAGTCCAGTTGACTTTCTATACTGATGAAGAAAGAATAATGCTATGGTGTACAATGTGTAAAGTCTTGTTTATTGGGCAACATGCATAAATTCTAAATTTGAGCATGATATAAAGCATCCTTTTTTGCTTCAGTTGCAGATTAAATACCGATAAGGTCTTGCAATATGTAAAACTTTTTACAGGCATCATCACAAGAGCCTTGTGGAAAAAATTGAATGTGTAATTCTGAAATTTCACTAGGGACTGTTTCTGTGTTTTACATTCTGGTTGCCTGCTCAAAATAACCGAAATTTAAATAATTCCAGAAGGAACTGTCTGAGCAGAACAAAGACTAAGTGGAGGTAATACTACATGAGAGAAATATTTTTATATTCATTTATTTATACCCATGTTTGAGTTGTAACCTACTGAGCAGAAGTGTGTGAATGCCAGGGCCTGTTACCCTCACCTCAGACTTTTCATTCATAACCAGACTGCAGTCTCTGGCGAGAGGAAATTTGCAAAGTACTGAAGATAAGAATCTTTGATACTAAGGGAAAAACTGTTAACTACAAGCCCTGGCTACATTTCATCTTATGGCCAATACAATAATTTTATATGCTGTAATGAGTTTACTGCTCTTTGTTCTTTTGATTTATACATCTATCATTTGTCATCTTCCCAGTGATAGTGACCACAGATCGGGGGGGGGGGGGAAAAAAACCTAAAGTGATTTTATAGGGACTTGAATTTAGAGGAATTTGACAACTCATCTCAGTCTGGGGGGGGGGGGGGGAAGTTCATCCTCAGCTGAAATTTTGGTCAGGATAAGAAAGACGTAGAAAACATAGAAAAGCGTCTGTCCTTTACAAATACCAAATTCTGTAGTCAAGGCTAGGTTAAAACTTCTAGCCTGTGACTGAAACCTTTAGTATATCAAAGTTAAAATCAATTGATTGGATGTAAGAGCTCAAAAAGCAAGTCAGAGTTTGGCAATTTTTTAGTGCTTTACTCTGAGATACTTGTGAGCTATTTGCTTTTTTGGCTATATTATTTTTCATGATGGTTATTTCATTATTTTTATAAGAGAAAAGTAATGTATTATTCAATGATGGGCAGGTAACTGATGCTTTTCTGCAGCTTTGTATGAATGCAGATATTAAAGTGCTAAATAAATTCCCATCTTCCAAACTAACTCATTGCTAAAAGTTAGAATAATTCATGCTGAAATTTCCCATAAACTTTTAAAAATGTCCTTGGACTGCTATCAAAGAACATCTGAAAATCTATTTAGACAAGCTTTCAGTATATTTAAAAATATATTAGGTAATTATTACCTGAATGTAATATATAGAAGATTTAGAAACTAACTAATAGAAATAGTTAAAATCAGTGCCAAAGTAGCTTCCCAAATCTGCTTCAAAATTCTGGACACAAAATGAACTGTTCTTAAATAGTACCCCCAAATAGTATTTCTTCTGTATTCTCTTCCTCCAGCATGCCTGCTTTACTTCTAAAGGGTGTATAGATTTTTTTTTTTTTTCCCCCCCTTCTATGGCATATGGCTTTTTTCTTTTTTAATCCTTTGGGTTGGCAATATTCATACTGCTGTAGACAGGTTTGAACTGGTAAACTTTCCTGAGTGGATTATAAAAGAAATTATTTCTGTGCTATGCCGTGGTCTTTGGTGTAGTTCTCTATTTACCACAATTTATGGAAAAGAGGAAAAAAAAAAATCAACTAAATTACACTTTGTGCATTTTAGCCGGCAGAGGGAGCCAATATAAACCCAATGGCAACCGCAGAACATTTTTCAGTTGACAACAAATAATGTTTACATATTGGAAGGAGACTTCATAAGGTATTTGATAGTCTGTACTGAATTATACATGAATTTTAAGAGGAACAGATGTGAAAACATAGGAATTGCTCCTCTAATTTAGTAACCTTGTTCCAATGGAGGCCAATACCAGATTGTTCAGATGAAGAAATGATGCTCTCATCAGGCTCATTTGTGCTAACATCTGAAAACTATAAATAGGGAGACTGTGAAGAAGTAGTAGGGATACATCTTTATTTGCCATTGAAATATTTTTGGTGGAAATGGCAACTTTTTTGTTAGGATGCAGTAGAAAACTGTAAATATTCCCATTAAAAATAAGGACTGCTCCTCCAAAGCAGTATATATAATTGCAAAATAATTTCAATATTGTAACTTCATAGTGTTTATATCCTGAAATATAAAGACTCTTCTCCTAGGTAATAGAAGTGTAGATTTTCTCTTAGTCATATAAATACATACTCCTTTTCTCATCTTTTCATACAGATGTACCTTGGCCATATTCCTTGTATATTGTTAAAAAAAAAAAAAGGTTGCTTTTATCCTTTTCCTTATGCTTTGGGGTAGGTGTGAACACCTACATTTTTGTTTACTCTTTTTTACTCTTTTTTTTTTTTTTTTTTTAAATCAATGTGTGCCATCCTAGGTTTTCACTTGCAAGACTAGTGTAATTAGGTTTGACTTCTCCAAAATCCCATGTTACTGCAGCTTTGGGACGCTGTGCTTCTGTTCTGACATTGTATCAAAGGAAAACTCCTTCCTGTCTTCACTTTTTTTAATCCTTATATGTAAAGGAATTTAAATAAATTTATAGTGTTTCAGGGATCAGCCTATTATATAGAGTGATTTGGAGCATTTACAGTATGTGCGAGAATATTTGTGTATGTAACTGGGAATCATAATAGCAATGTTTAGCTGGGCACCAAGGAACAAATACTTAAAAATGCTTAAGTGGCCTAGGAAAGGTCCTCCTCTTAGCCCTCCGCAACTTGAGGATAGGGAGGTGCTCGTCCAGGGGTGATACAAGACCCTGAAATGAGCCTCTGGAAATCCCCTTTTCTGTGTGTTTCTTCCAATTTGGGTGATGCTCTTCAGCTGGTGAGGATTAAGGCTTGGGTGAGGAGTCAGTGACTGCATAGCCAGACGAGATGGATGTGGAGAGTCACGGATTGGTGTGTCAGTCCCTCTGAGTGAGGGCCTTTATCTCCTATCGTGTAATAGCATGTGTGAATCAGAGGGAGTTTCGGATTTCCTGGATGCTTTGAGTTAATAGTATTGAAGTAAAGATCCATGCACTTTCTTCTGTAGGTGGCAAATGATGAAATAGATTTTTTTTTTTTTTTTTTTTTTTACTTAGGATGGATATCTACCACATATCTCCCTACATGGATCCATGCTTGTGCCATATCTTGATGATACCACTGCATGCCAGCTGTTGCTGTACCCGCATTTTAAGCAC